CTCTTCAACCCTGAAAGAAAGCAACCATAACCAATACCCCCAACAAATGGGCATGATTGTGTTCCCACAAAACTTTATGAACAGGCATTGAAAATTGATTTCATCTCACTTTCACTCACGGAGAAATACCATTTTTCTTTTGATTTTTTTTCTGCAGCCATTAAAGATGTAAAAACGATTCTTGCCGCACAAAAATAGACAGAGGTTTGTCTTCCCTGTTGTCTTAGCAAAGCTACAGCTATTCAACCGCGTGATGCCACATTCTATCGAAGTCTACAAGGCCACGTGGCCATGATGACTGGAAACTCGTTGAAAATAGGAAGATTCCTTGCATGCGCAGAATACTCCTTTTCATTCTGAACTGTCTTTTCAATTTGTCTGATAGATGCTGCCGGAAGTCTAGTGGTTGCCAGGAGGGTAAAGTTTTTAGTATTTTTATCATGTGAGTCCAACAAATAAGAGAAGGAATTGAAGGATTTTAGCAAAGGGGGGACAGAGCAAGAGCAGCAGCAGCCCCTCGCAGTAACAATCAGGACAAAGTGCTGGAGCAGGCAGGGCTCCGCTCCGGCTCCTGCGCCCCCAGCACCTGCGTGAGCCGCCAATGGAGCGCGCAGAACTCCTCGCGCGCAGCCTCCCGCCTCGCCTGAGACTGTGTGCTGGATACAAAAGCAGCGCTGCGCTGCAGGGGCTTTTGTATTCCTGTGAATAAGCTCGCTGGGCCGCGCACGCCTCAGATAACGCATCAATTCCAGGAAATGTTATCGCCAAACCCTGCCTGCGTCATGAGCCATCCGTGAGGCCAGCTGCTCCGGAGTGGAATTTTCCAGCTGTTGGAATTCTCGGCAGTGCCCAGTGCTCCTCAGCTCTTTGGAAACCCAAATTGGATTTCTCTTCCCCACCCCCCACCCCGCTCCCTCCAGCTTCAGGGATCAACTTGGGTAGTAATTTAGGCATTTTCTTCAAGGGCTTAGGAAGTAAACTGATGTTTGATGTAATTTCTGCGATTCCCTTCCCTGCCTCCTCCTCGCGTGCTTATTATCTCACACACATAACAGGCCTGAGCTACTTCAGTTCAATTCACTTAATATTTACTGAGCGTCCCTTCTGTGTGTTCTGTGCTGAGCCAGTTCCTAGTTGCTGGGGACAGGGCAGTAACCCAGAGAAAGCTGGTTTGGACTAGTCGTGTAGCAGGGAAAATCGATATTTAATTAGTAATGCAAGCATGATCAACATTACAGTGAAAGACAGATCAAATACTATGAATAAAACCAGAAGGGGAATTTAATTTACTCCTAGATGGAGAGAAGTCCTCCCTAGGGAAGGGACCCAAAGTTGGTGGCTAAGTGAAGAGGAAGAGATGGGTTTCCAGAAGAGGGAAAATGTGTGTGAAGAACCCTGAGATAAGAAACAGTGCGATAGGTCTGGCACAGTGGCTCACACTTGTGATCCCAACATTTGGGAGGCTGAGGTGGGAAGACCATTTAAGACCAGGAGTTAGAGACTACCCTGGGCAGCATAGCAAGACCTCCGATGAGTTTGTGTCATTTGTAGGGACATGGATGAATCTGGAGAACATCATTCTCAGCAAACTGACACAAGAACAGAAAATGAAATACCGCATATTCTCACTCATAGGTGGGTGATGAAAAATGAGAACACATGGACACAGAAAGGGGAGTACTAAACACTGGGGTCTATTGGGGGGAAAAGGGGAGGGCCAGCGGGAGGGGGAACTGGGGAGGGATAGCCTGGGGAGAAATGCCAAATGTAGGGGAAGGGGAGAAAGGAAGCAAAACACACTGCCATGTGCGTACCTATGCAACTGTCTTGCATGTTCTGCACATGTACCCCCAAACCTAAAATGCAATAAAAAAATTTTTTAAAAATTAAAATGTTTAAAATTAAGGTGGTGGCACTACCTGTAGTCTCGGCTACTCAGGAGACTGGGGTGGGAGGATCACTTAGTCCAGGACTTTGAGGCTGCAGTGAGCTATGATCCTGCCACTGCACACCAGCCTGGGCAACAGAGCAAGACTCTGTCTCTAAAAAAATAAAATAAGAACGTGGTGGATTCACAGAAGGGAACTACCATGCTCCAAAAAGCTGGAAGGAAGAGAGCAAGGGCAGGAGCTCTCCTTGTTCACCTTGCTCCTAGCAAAGGGACTGACACAAGTGTTCAGTGACTCTGAGGAAGAATACCCAGACGTGACCGTTTTCCTTTTCTCTGCCTTCTATACACAACTACCTTCTATAAGCAACTTACTGCAGGACCTCTCACAGGTGGCTCAGTTATTTGACTACAGGCCATTTCCGCCTCTAAATCAGAAGGCCGATCCTATTTGTTTTATATTCCTGGTGCCCAACAAATTCAAAAGGTTTAATTGTCAAAGAAGATAAAAGAAGTAAAGCATAAAAAAACGAAGCATTAGAAGAAGGAAAGAAAGGAAGAAGGAAGTCAAAATAAACTAGAAGGAAAGAACTTCAATGAATTGAAATGATCATTATTGTGATAGATTAATTTCTTACCTTTGCAACCAGAAACTTTACCTTCTGGGCATGGAAAAAAGAGAAGCCAGTCTATTCTTCACCCTTTGATTTATATGTTTGTTTGTTTTGTTTTTTTTAAGCACCAGATTGTATTGCTGCACTAATGGTGCGTGACAAACCACCTCCAAATTACTAAGCTTTATTTCTTGCTCACAGGTCTTCAGTCCACTGCAACACGGCTGGGCTCAGCTAAACTCTGGGATCCAGGCTTCAGTCTGACGGTTGGATTCAGATCTTCTCCACATTTCCACATTCTTCTTACATCAAGGCAGTGCCCAACACCTCCTTTGCTCATGGCAGCTCACAAGAGTGTAAGAGCCAAGCCAAATTGAGCAGATACATTTAAGGCCTGTGCTCACACACATTCTATAGGCTGAGCAAATCAGTGATAACATATATTATGTACATAATGTTATATATATTTTATAAATTGCAATTTATTATACATATAATTATATTATAATTTATATTATATATAAATATATATAATATATTGCTTTAAATATATTTGCTAAATTTATATTTAATATGTTAAATATAAATTATATATAATTATATAATATAAATATATATTTATAATATATAAATATATGTTCATATATATTGTTAATATATAAATATATATATATAATTTTTTAAAGAGTAAAAGACATCCTGACGTCAAAATGTTTGAGAACTGCTGCTGTACCTTAGAGATGGGAATTGAAGAGCAAATAGTTGCTAGATAATAATGCAATCAATAATAAAGATACAGTGTCCTCATTAGCTTTACATAGCTAATGATGCGGGAACAACTTTATTCACTAAATATTTATGGAAGCTGGAAAAGCATATCATTCTTGTGCAGGTATTCAGAAGTCAAGACCAAGTTTTGGAAGGGATAGGGCATAAGATACCTGCACTGAAAGTCAGAGAGAATGTGCAGTTTGTTGAACAGATGGCCATAAATTTTTCCCCACTCTATATTGGGGCCCCAACCATGCCACCTGAGTGGCTTCCCACTCTGAGTCTAGCTGTGTGACTTGCCAATGGGATGTTGACCAGCACAATGCCAGAAAGGGCTGAAAAAAGCCTTGTACAAGGCCAGGAGTGGTGACTCATGCCTGTAATCCCAGCACTTTGGGAGGCTGAGGTGGGCAGATCACAAAGTCAGGAGTTCAAGACCCCACTTGGCCAACATAGTGAAACCCCATCTCTACTAAAAAATACCAAAAAATAACTTAGTCACGCATGGTGGTATATGCCTGTGGTCCCAGCTACTCAGGAGGCTGAGGCAGGAGAATCGCTTGAACCCAGGAGGCGGAGGTTGCAGTGAGCCAAGATCGTGCCACTGAACTGCAGCTTGAGCAACAGAGTGAGACTTTCTCTTAAAAAAAAAAAAAAGAGGCTTCTACATTGCAGCTACTCCTTTCTTGCTGCTTTTAGAGCCCAGAGGCTGCCAGTGGAGAAGCTCAGACTGATTTGTGAATGGAAGACACATAACCCAGTCACTTCCATAATTTGGCCAACAGCCTGCCAGATGTTTGAGTGAGGTCATCCTGGATTATCCAGCATATAGCCAAGTACCAATCCACCACAAGCATGCAAACTAGCCCACCAGAGATCAGCTAAGGAGGCTGATACCAGAAGAATCTCCCAGATCATCCAGAATTGGGAGCTAAATAAATTAACTGTATTGAAGCTACTGTGTTTGGGGTCTGGTTTGTTACATAACAAATCCAAACTGACCAGGGATCAGAGCCAGCAAAATCATAGCCAGTCGCTGTTCTGAGATCAGATCTACTTCCTTGACCTCACAATCTTTAATCTAACTGCAAAGATCAAAATACACTCAGTCTGCTCAGATGGACCTCCTCGTCCACTCACTCAATGCTATTCAGGTGGTCAGAAAATCCTTGACTGGCATTTCAGTAACCAAGCTTCAAACTCATAGGGCCTGGGAGATTTTTAAAGCAGAGTCTTCCTCTTAGGGTGTTTGTGGTTTCTGGTTTCTCTGCTGGGCCCCCTTACAGCCACTCCTGTGAAGTAGATAATCACTTCCTTCCTCCTGTGGCTACTGCCACACAAACCCCTGGTTTTCAGGAGTCCACTCTACTCTGATTCTGCCTTTCGGAGTCCTATCTTGGCCTGGCCAGGTGGTCTTAGGTAGCAGTCAAAGGAGCTCCAGGATCATTCTCCTGTACAGCTCATGTCTGAAACACTATGTATAGGTGTGCCCAAAAACTCTGAAAGTATAAACTGATACAAGTACATCAAGAGCTCCCCTTCTCTCAGCCTGTCTTTCTTACCTTCTAGATTAGTAATGTTCAATAGAAATGCAATGCAAGCAGCAAATGCTAACAACATGGTTAGTTTCACATTTTCTAGTACCCACGTTAAAAATGTAAAAAACAAACAAGTGAAATTAATTTTAATAATGCATTTTATTTAACTCAAGATATACAAAACTGTCATTTAAATGAGTAACCAATATAAAAATTAACATGAGATATTTTACACTCTTTGTGATGCTTAAGATTGACCCCACCACCACCACCCCACACCTATGGGTCAACTACAGGAAGCACACATTGAGTTCATGAAGAAATCTGGTGGGAGCCTTCCCCATTTCTGCTGGTGCAGTCTTTCTACGTTGGTTGCAGTCACGTAACCCATTCTAGGTCTGTCTCACAGTTCACGTTGGCATTTCAAATCTGTCTGCTTGCTTCGGTTAAAAGTTCTAATCTATCATCCTGCAGAAAGAGAAACACAGAAGTGATACTGAGAACTAATGTTGGCTTTTGAGGGTGGAAAATAGTGCATCTTCTTTTGTGCTGAAGGGAAATAGCCAATACAGATGAGGGATTAGTGAATCAGGCCAGAAGTTTATTAATAGATGGAGCACGAGCCTGTAAAAGTTAAGAGGGGAGAGGACCAAGGAAGGGTACAGGTGAAGGGACTGGCCTTCAGCAGGGGAAAATGGAAGAGATAAAAAAAGTGAGTTTCTTCCTAACAAAAGGGAGAGATTAAGGATGAAATTTCTAGGGAGGTTAGGTGTACTTCATAAAACTCCATTCTCTCTGTGATATTTATCATCAGAGAGAGAGGGAGAAGGTGAGTAGGAAGAGAACCTCAGGAAAGAAGTGTAGAGTTGAAAGGGTTGCAGTTGCCCTGGGAACAGGAGCAAACACTGATGCAAGATAAAAAAAAAAAAAACTAAAACAAATTTTAAAAGGCAGTGTGTGCCAAGCAGAGTCGAGTTCCCAGCTAAAGATGGAGATCAGGAGTGTGTTGGGGTCCTCATCTGTACCATGATGTGGCTTTTCTCCAAAGGGCTCTGCTGCCAGAATACAAAAACAGAAAAAAGCTGATGATTTGTTGAGTGCTTGCAGAGCAAGTCAAGGAGTCAAGAGAGCAGAAGGTGCTAACAGACAGTGGTCAAACTGATGAGTCCTTGAACGTAGTGAAGCAGAGGGAGGCGGGATGTATAGAGCAGTACAAGGCGAGTTGAATCTTTTAGCAATATGTGCCAAGTCTCATAGCCACTTCATCTCTTATTTACAGAAATCAATAAATCCACACATTGTATGTTATTTTGCATGTTACAGAGAAAACAAATAGCATTGTTTCTGACACATCAAGGAGCTTAGAGACTACCTGGGTAAACAAGATTAATGCATAAATCAATGCCTGTTGCACAAAAACATAGTTACATTTTACCACAAAAATTTCAAGTATTTTAGAAACAAAATGTGAGCTAGGGTTTGGTAGCTTGAACAGTAGATCCTTCTCCCCAACCCAGAGGCGAGTACCGGCTGCCTGACTTCCTTCTCTGAGGAGAAAAGTCTTACGCAGAATGATCACCAGAGAGCAAGATCCTCACTGGCAGATACGATACGGTATTAGCCCTCCCATCTTCAGTGACTGGCATAGACGTGTAAGGAATTGTGTCTAAAGGTTTGAATGAGTGAATAAATGAATGAACTTCTAAGAACCGTGAAACCAAGAGAAGGAATCATGGAAGATGAGCTTAACCAGAGGAAGGGTTGCGTGGGCAAGCAAAGTTGAGCCTGAGTAAACACCTGAAACTGCAGCTGTTTCATCCCCTGCTTCCCGGCAGGAATGGGTAGGTTGGCTCCATTTAGACAGCCAGGAGTGGAGAAGACAACAGAGTGGTGCCATGAAAAAGGTAGCTGAAGAGAAAGTAAACATGAACGTAGGTGGGGCATGGTGGCTCCTGTCTGTAATCCCGGCAATTTGGGAGGTCAAGGTGGAGAGAGATGCTTGAGCGCAGGAGTTCAGGACCAGGCTGTGCACTATGGTGAAACCTCCTCTCTGCAAAAAAATACAAAAATTAGCCAGGCATAGTGGTGCATGACTGTGATTCCAGCTACTCAGGAGGCTAAGGTGGGAGAATGGCTTGAGCCAAGGAGGTTGAGGCTGCAGTAAGCCATGATAGCACCACTGAACCAGCCTGGGTACAGAATGAGACTATCTCAAAGAAAAAATACCACCACACCAGCCTGGGTGACAGAAAGAGACTATCTCAAAGAAAAAGAAAAGAATGTAGACCCCACTGTGTGCTTAGCCCGGTACTGAGTACTTGAGTACTCTGGTGATATATAAGAAACAAAAATGTAGTTTCCAATTGTTTAGCTTATAATCTAGTTCAGGAGACATGAGGTGTGATAACCTGTAAGGCTAGCAGAGAATATGCAAAACAGAACAGGGTGTGCTAGAGCTGACTATGTCTATCACAGTTAGAATTACATGACCAATTAAACTCGTGTGTGTGTGTGTGTGTGTGTGGGTGCACACACATACATGCTTAAACATTAGCTAAAGAAGATAATGGTTTACTCTGAAGCTGACCTTAGCTGTATTTGCATAGTATATATCATTTCATCAATATAATCAATGTACACCTTTCATCATCAAAATCTCCTAAGGAGCTTTTTCAAAATTACAAGCAGCCACCATTCATGGATTCTGATTCAGTAAGTCTGGCATAACACAAAATAACCTCTTTGTTTTCATATTCTCCAAGAGTGATTCAGGTGTTCATGAAATGGGGAGAACCACTTATTTAAACAATTTGAATATGGGGAAATTAGCAATAAAAAAAGAGAAGAGGACTTCTTTACATCCAGATGAACTGTTTCAGTATAAGTAGCCCATAATAGAAAAATGATCATGCAAATTATGAAATAAAACATTGAACAAATTAAGTAAGCCTTGCTTCACGAAAATATACATCTGAATGAAAATAGATCATTAAAAACTGTATATTGACAATAATGATTAAAAGTAAAATGCATTGATGGAGGTCCTAGAAAAATATTTAAATTCTTTTTTATTTTACATTTTTTGTCTATAAAAATATTAAATCTACATCTAGGATTTTAACTATAGATATGGTTTGGCTGTGTTTCCACCCATCTTGAATTGTAGCTCTCATGGGGGCAGGTTTTCCCATTCTGTTCTCATGATAGTGAATACATATCTTAAGATCTGGTGGTTTTATAAAGAGCAGTTCCCCTGCACAAGCTCTCTTGACTGCTACCATATGGGATGCCTTTGCTCCTCCTTTGTCTTCTGCCATGATGGTGAGGCCTCCTCAGCCATGTGGAACTGTGAGTCCATTAAACCTCTTTTTCTTTGTAAATTACCCAGTCTTGTGTATTTCTTTATAGCGGTATGGAAACGGACTAATACAGTAAATTGGTACAAGGACTTGGTGCTCTGTATCTCAGCCATAGCTAAGAGGAGCCAATGTACAGCTCAAGCTGTTGCTTCATGGAGGTCCTAGAAAAATATTTAAATTCTTTTTTATTTTACATTTTTTCCACCCATGCTTTGGTGGCTTCCATGTGATGTTGGGCCTATAGATGCACAGAAGTCAAGAATTAGAGTTTGGGAATCTCTGCCTAGATTTCAGAGGATGTTTGGAAATACCTGGATGTCTAGGCAGAGGTGTGCTGCAGGGGCAGAGCCTTCATGGAGAATCTCTGCTAGGGCAGTGCAGAAGGGAAATGCGGGGTAGAAGCCCTCACACAGAGTCCCGACTGGGATATTGCCTAGTGGAGCTGTGAGAAGAGGGCCATGGTCCTCCAGATCCCAGAATAGTAGATCCACTGACAGCTTGCACTGGAAAAGCCACAGACACTCAATATCAGCCCATGAAAGCAGCCAGGAGGGAGTCTATACTTTGCAAAGCCACCAGGGCAGAGCTGGCTAAGACCATGGGAACCCAACTTTTGCATCAGCATGGCCTAAAAATGAGACATGGAGTCAAAGGAGATCATTTTGGAGCTTTTAAGTTTTAACTGCCTCTCTGAATTTCAGACTTGCATGGGGCCTGTAGCTCCTTTGTTTTGACCATTCTCCCATTTGAAATGGATGTATTTACCCAATGCCTGTACCCCATTGTATCTAGAAAGTAACTAACTTGCTTTTGACTTTACAGGTTCATAGATGGAAGGTAGTTGCCTTGTCTCAGATGAGACTTTGAACTGTGGACTTTTGAGTTAATGCTGAAATGAGTTAAGACTTTGAGGAACTGTTGGAAGGGCATGATTGTATTTCAAAATGTGAGGACATAAGATTTTGGAGGGGCCATGGTAGAATGATATGGTTTAGTTGTGTCCCCACCCAAAAATTTTCTTGAATTGTAGCTCCCATAATCCCATGTGTCCTGGGAGGACCCAGTGGGAGATAATTGAATCATAGGAGTGGGATTTCCAATGCTATTCTCATGCTAGTGAGTAAGTCTCATGAGTTCTGATGGTTTCATAAAGGCCAGTTCCCCTGCACACACTCTCTTGCCTGCCACCATGTAAGACATTTCTTTGCTCCTTCTTCATTTTCCATCATGATTGTGAGGCCTCCCCAACCATGTGTAACTATGAGTCCATTAAACTTCTTTTTCTTTATAAGTTACCCAGTCTCCAGTATGAAAACAGACTAATAAAACTATATATGTAACTTTTTTTAAAAAGCAAAACGTACCACTTTGTGTTATGCATTGTAGCTTCTGTTTTTCTTTTTTTTCTTTTCTCTGTCCCCCAGGCTGGAGTGCAGGGACATGATCTCAGCTCCTGGATTCAAGCCTCTGCCTCCTGGATTCAAGTAATTCTCCTGCCTCAGCCTCCTGAGTAGCGGGGATTATAGGTGTCTGCCACCAAGCCCAGCTAATTTTTGTATTTTTAGTAGAGATGGGGTTTCACTATGTTGGGAAAGCTGGTCTCAAACTCCTCATCTCAAGTGATTCACCTACTTCAGCCTTCCAAAGTGCTGGGATTACAGGCGTGAGCCACCTTGCCCAGCTTTACATTTGTTTTAACAAAGTGTTTACAAGATATTAAAAATAGTTGAGTTGTTAAGGTGTGCCTCAATGACTTGATAATTATTTATTCATTGTGTTTTAGTGGGTGCAACTATTTCCCCCAGGGAGTACCTGCATCAAAAGTGGTAAGGCAAATGCCAGGAGCCTCTGCCACTTAAAATAAATGAAGTATTGGGATAACTTGATCTAAAGAGATGCTTGATACAATTTTGCCACAATTTGAGTAGAAAGTTGCATTAGAAGCATTAACTGTGCATTTCATTGAAATAAATGGGTTATGGTGATGATAGTTAAAGAAATCATCAATCAACGGGGCAGCTTTTGTTTATAAATATAATAATGGCAGAAGGGGAAATGTCCATGCAGATGTGCTAATTCCGGTTTAGGTAAGACTCAGTCACCAAGAGA